TCTCTCTCTCTCTCTCTCTTTGTCTCTCTCTCTCTGTATGTATATATATAATATATATAAAAAAATAAATAAAAAGTGTGTGTGACTGATCACATTCCTTTTCTGACTTGTATAGTTATTGTTATATGCTGTGGTCCTGAAGATGTCTGCTACCTTTGCTAAGATACTGGAAAAATCAGCTAAAATCCTTTTTGCAGCTCACCTTTGATCCTTTCTGGTAATTTAGRCATGTAAGAATTTCAAAATGTTGGTTTAAGAGACCTAAAAAAACTCTAGAGGAAATTAAGTGCAACTTTCTGCTCAGACCAGAACCATTGCTTTGTCCAGCTGAGCCTTGAAAACCTCCAACAACATCAATTCACTGGTTCTACAATTTGTAGTCCAGAGCTGCTTTATCCTCCTAGCAAAGAAACTTATTGTAATGTTGGAAAACTTTCCATAATRTCCCTTTCAAGAGACAACTTGCCTCTTATTTTACCATCTGAAACTTCTGAAGAAAAGTTTGGCTCTGATATCTTTGGTTCTCCTTCAAGTGAGAAGTTAGTTCATGTTGAAGTTAGATTACTCCTCTTTGTCAGGCTAAAAAAAAAGTGCAATTCCTTCAGCTTTTCCTCAGAGGTCATTTTTTTTCCAGGCTGTTGACCATCTTGACAGTCCTCTGCTTGACYGTCTCTGTTTTCCCAGTGTCTTGTTTCAGCTGGGGAGTTGGAGAGACAGGACAAAACTAGAATCTGTATAGCAGGTATTTTGTCACTTGCTCACTAGACAGGAAGAGTAGCTTCCCTCAAGTTGCAGGCTGTGCTTCTGCTAATTGAGTCCAATATGCACCTTGCCTTGGTTCTGTTGAACGCATGTTGGGTTTTATTCAGTTTGGCGTTTATCTTTTTCAGATGGGCTGACGGGCAGCCTGTTGCCGCTTAGCTGCTACTGAAGCAGGATGGCCAAGGGTTGGCCCTAAGTTTCTCAAGGGAACTAAATCCTCTGAATTGAAGCTCTTGCCTGGCTGCATCAACAGGCCCAGCTGATTCAGCAGTGTTTGCTGAGGCTTCATTTTTGTCTCATCATGCAGGTTTTTCAAGAAAGTGTAGGCCTTAGGCCTGTGTAGACCCTAGTTTTGACATTGGAGTATTTTGGCCTCTATCTGAAAGCCAGTGATCGGCTACTCCTTTTTAAGCCTATTTGTCCAGTCAGTTCACCTATACAAGTCAATTTATATAGCCTTAACCTGTTCAGTCAGTTCACCTATATGTCAATTAATGTTAGCCTTTACCTACAAGTGAGAGATGGGAAATGCTGTCAAAAGTGTTGATAAATCAATGTATACCACATCCCTTTCATACATGTAGTC